TCTTAGTTATATTGATCTTTTCTATTATCTTTCTAGTAACTATTTCATTTATTTATACTCTAATGTTTATTATTCCCTTCCCTTTTCTATCTTTGTCTTAGTTTTTTTTCCTATTTTCTTGAGGTATAAAGTTAAGTTGTTCATTTAAGATTTTTTAAAATATAGGCATTTATCAATGTAAACTTCCCTCTTAGAACATCTTTTGCTGCATCCCAGAAGTTTTGGTATGTTGTATTGTTATTGTTATTTTCATTTGTCTCAAGACACTTTTGACTTCTCTTTGGATTTCTTTTTTGATCCACTGGTCATTTGGGAGTATATTGTTTACTTTCCATATATCTGTGCTGGGATTAATATTTCTGACTTTTTAGCCAGGCTGCCTGTATTCTAATTACAACTTCACCACTTACAAGGTATTTAGCTTTAGGTAAGCCATTTAAACTCTCAGTGCCTCAGTCCCCTTATCTGTAACAATGAGGAAGACAATGATATTAATAATAATAAGAGTATCTACCTTCCTGACTGTGAAGATGAAATGAAATAGTCAGTAGAAACTAGTTAAAATTGTTCATAGTATACAGTATTTATTCTTTTTATGTATAACTGATGTTTTATGAGATCCTTAGAGTGCTAGACACTGTTTGTATGAATTATTTTATATGATCTCACCACAACCTTATAAAAAAGTTTTTATTGTCCCATGTTTTAGGTGGAGTGGTTACAGGAGTTAGTTTCAGCCAACAGTTAGTATATAGAGAAGCTGCTAGGCAAACATAAGATTTTTTTTTTAAATCTAGCATAAGGACCTGAACACTTTACCACATCTGTCTCCCCTGTTGACTATGAATTCAATGCCTAGATCCCATGAGGCAAGGGTCAAAGCATTTGATGTTGGGAATGTCGAACTCATACTTCTCACAGGATGTCCTTCTGAGAAGTATTCTTTCTCTTACTTACTTATGTTTTGTTAATTTTTGCTTGGTTTTGATTGTTTGTAGACATCAGTTTGTAATTTCTTGTGTACAACAGAAATGAAGGGAAGATCCTGGGAGTACCAACATTTAAGAGTGACCAAAAGAATGGAAGCCAGCAAAAGGGATAGAAATCTATCGTCTTGACTCCCAAACCTACTCCATGTTGATAGTCTTAATCTTAGTTAATGATCCCTGCTGCTTGATCCAAAAACCTCAGAATGACTTCACTCATTTCCCTCCTTCTGTACTGTTGTTACCTCTTCAGAGACAAAACTTCAATACTTTCCACTTAGACTTTCACTACTGACTTCTAACTCATCTTTTTGCTGCTAACTTTCTCTTACTTTGAGCAGTTATCCAGCTTACTCTAAGACCAGAGTAAATTTTCAAAAAAATAAAAGGTTCTGCAACTTTTCATTTTTCTTCAATTCCAACTCAGGTTCATATGTTTGTCACCCAGTCTAGAAGGGCTTTCCTCCACAATTTTGCTTGGCAAACTCCTTTTCGTCCTTTAAGACCCAACAAAATTGTTGCCTTTTCATGAAAATGGACACTCTTCCATCCTTCTGATATTAACAATGTTTTGTTCTTGTGTCCATGATAAACCTTGTCATAATATATTACAGTTTATCCTGGAGGAAAGCACCACAAGACCAAGAATTTCCTTTTTTTTCATCCCAATGCTTGATACATAGTAGCCATTTGGTAAATACATGTTGAATGAAAGCATGAATTTATAGCATATTTACCTTCGCTTGACTTGGAGTTTCATAAGGAATGCAACAGCATCCAATTTATGTACTTTCTTTCTGCTTAACAAAGTATCTGACACATAGTACAAAAGTTAAATATAATAAATAAAAGATTAATTGCATAGATTTTTAAAAGGAGATAGAAAATATTTTAATATCTAGGAATTTCACCCTAAGATGGAAGACCTGTGGGTGGTTACAAGTAGGTAAGCAGAGTCCAAAATGTAGTGTCATTTTCAATGGCAGAGGGGAACAGGAGAGTCAGTAAGAAACAAATGCTCAAGGAGCTTGAGTGGAGACTGAAATAGGCATCTCTTTATTATCTTATTGGCTGATTTATACTTCTTATAAAATAATTAGCTTACGCATTACCTCCTCTAAGAAACGAGAATCTCTCCTAGGCAGATTATCCAAAAGTTTGGGTCCAAACATGATCCAAAAGTTTACGTTGGCCTACCATGGTTCCTTTACAAAAAAAAGACCAAAAATGTTCTGCCATTCTTGCTCATCATGATTTTGCCTCAATTTTTCAAGTTATGTTTTATTCATAATGGATTTTTTTTTTTTTTTTGGTTTTCTGAACGTGTTCTGTTCCTTTTACTGCCTTAAAAACCCTTATCACTGAGTCTTCCTACTATTTCCTTCACCTCCACATACCCTACTGAATTTTCAAACTGCAATTCAAATATTCCTTCCTTAGGGGAATCTCATCAGACTGTCTCCCTAGACCACCACACCCCACTCAACAACTAGATCACATCCCTTTATTAGGGGTACTATTGTTTCAATATAATTGCAATTATAATTATTGACCCATTGAATGGGTTGATTCGTGTCCCTTCCTTCTTTATTATAAGCTTTAAGGGGGCAAAATCTATTTCTGTTTTTCTTATCATCTTTCCCTCTTTAGTGCTTCCACATTGTCTGGTACATTTCTGACACCTAATAAATATTTGTTGGAAGGAATAAATATTAGTGAGAGAAAAAATGGGTAATGCATTCATGAGTCAATAAGGATTATATAATATTTTTTGTGGTAAATATTTTGTTTACCTCCAATTACTGAAACAAAGAGTTTCATATCCTGAAATATGACCTGAAAGTCATGAAATGAAAGGTTTGATAAGGCTGGACATGGTAGCTCACACCTGTGATCCCAGCACTTCCGGAGGCCAGGGTGAGAGGATTGCTTGAGCTCAGAAGTTCAAGACCAGCCTGGGCAGCACAATACTTTGTGTCTACAGAAAAAGAAACAAAATTAGCTGAGTGTGGCGGTACACACCTGTAGTCCCACCTACTCCAAAGGCTGAAGTGGGGGAATTGCATGAGCCCAGGAGTTCCAGGCTGCAGCATGCTGAGATCATGCCACTGTGCTCCAGGCTGGGTGACAGAGCAAGGGCCTGTCTCAAAAAAAAATTTTTTTTTAAATAAGAAAGTTTTGATAAGCAGAATATTAGTTTAAATATGAATGAGAAGAGATGTATAGCATTTGTAGGTGTACAGAGCCAAATATTCCATAAAGGAAGAAGTTAAGAGCAATGATATGGAATAAGCATGGGGCTTTTAAGAACTTGTCTAAGTAGAGGGTATTCTTTGGTCAGTACTTGAAAAAATAAAATAAGGCTTGCTGGAGTGGAGCAAGTCAATGGAAACCCTTCACAGTTAGGAGGAGCATTTACACTAAATGACTTTATTTCAAACATTCAACAAACACTGACTGTCTATTGGTTACCAGCCATATAATGTTAGGTGCTAGGGAAATAGAAGTAAGTAGAATGAGGTGGGGGAGGTTCATTGTGGCTCTTGGAAAAGAAAATACATAATCAAAGTTTGTGTTAGAAGGGTCAATCTGAAGGCTTTTGAAAAATGGATCTGGGATAGGGAGGATGTTTGCTGAAGGAACAAATCAATCGATTCAATTAATTCAATAAACTAATTATGATTTTAGTGAGTATTCTGTGAACCCTCACTTAGTTTGATTACCTTGACTGTGACATTTAACTTTGTATTTCACTACTTCTTTGCTTCTCTTACATTCAGTTAAAAATATTTTTAAAATATAATTTTCAAGGTTCAGAAACAAAAAAGTAAATGACATTCTGGAAAAAGATAGATGTGCTTAGAACCAAAAAATAAAAATAATGGAGACGGTAAATATGTAAGTGAGAAATATGATGATGATTTTCATTAACAAAATACACCATTAAATATATTCTCATGTGATCCAAAGTAATTTCATTCTCTGCGCCCAGCGAGTTGTTATCTACCGATGGTGGTTTTTCAAATGCACCGTGCAGTTAGAGGTCTGTGACCCCCATCATAGACCTCCATCACTGAGAAGTTCAGAGGTAGAAGATGCAGCGGGACAACATTGGCCTCCATTAATCTTAGCTTGAAAAGAGGATCTTTCGAGAACACTATCTAAATTTAGCTGTGTTCAAAATGCTCCACCACAGAAGAGCAGCATAAAGCAATCTCATTAAAACAAGCTCAGAAAACAATTCCAGGATATATGAGTAAAAGCAAACTGAACAATGGAAGCACAAATAGTATGACCTTCTCTTGACTTCTACTTGCACAGCTCTACTTATTCAAGCTCTGTTTTGGACATTAAGCTTTTTTCATAACCATAACTTTTGTGTTTTTTCAATCATCCCATCTATTATGTTTCCCCTTACACTTTTTATTTAGTTCTTTTAGGAGAAATTTGAAAAAAAAAATCTTTATAAATCGAGGTTTTTTTATTCAAGAGCTTTTAAAATAACAGTACATCACCAGATCATTAAAAAAAGTGTTCTATTGTAGTTAAGTTACTGTTCATTGAAATTTTTCTAGTCTTCAATGGGAGAGCTACTGTTTCTTCCAGTTGAGCTCAAAAGGAAAAGCAAAAAAAAAAAGATGGGCAGAAGCCAGAAATGCTGAATAAATTAGTGTCCTTTTTATTTACTTTTTAAAAACTATGAATTGGCTCATTTAAATAGATTCTAAAAGTATTTGTATGTGGGTCCGAACACTGTTGTCATGGAGATTAAAACATTTTTGCTGTTGTTGTGTACACTAGAGATGGCAGTTTTCTTCTAGTTGATGCTTCTGTAGAATAAAAAAGAGTTGAGCTGAGAAAGGTATGTCTTAATGGAATTGTTAATATGTAGTCTTATTTTGGATGACATTTTAAAATCACTTACCTATTTAATCTGTGTATTGTAGAGCATGCTGGGCAATTATCAGTTCCATTGGTACCTGCCTCAGTTGCAGTTCAGTCTTAAGTACTTACCAAAGGGAACTCATCTGGGGCGGCAGGGGTAACTGAAAAGTGTGGGAGCTGAGGAAGTGTTTGAGAGCTTGTGGGCAGTGTGCCTGCTCCAATTGTAGTCTCAGTGAGGAAGAGCACCATCTGTGCAAGATTTTCTCAGATGTCCTCTTTAGAACTCTCATTGTCATCAGTTCTATGTGCTCTAAAATCATTACTTTTTCTTCTTCATTTTGAACATAAGCTATTTTTTAAGACATATAGGTTTTATTTCTGTGTGATCAAAAACTATGTCTTGGGCAACTTCTACTTTTTGGGATTAACAATTATTTTCTTTGTGGTCTTGACTGTCTCACTCTCTCTGTGTATATATACATCCATATACACAACATATACATCCATATATGTATATATACAAACAGAGAGAGTGTGTGTGTATATTTATACAGAGAGAGAGAGACAGAGAGAGAGTCAGTCTTGCTCTCTTAACCAGCTGGGGTGCAATGGTGCAATTATGGCTCACTGGAGCCTCCACCTCCCAGACTCAAGCAATTCTCATGCCTCAGTCTTCTGAGTGGCTGGGACTACCAGCATGCACCACCACACCCAGTTAGTTATTGCACTTTTTTTTGAGGAGACAGGGTTTTGCAGTGTTGCCCAAGCTGGTCTTGAACTCCTGGGCCTCCAACAATTCTCCTGACTTGACTTCTCAATGTGCTGAAATTATAGGCGTGAGCCACCTTGCCTGATCATCGTCCACATATATTTTTGAAAGTGAGGAACAATGAGACTTTTCTAAGTTTTTTTCTGTTTGCTAACTTATCAGAGAAAACTAGTGGAAATAATATTAAAAAGAAATCACTAAATGCTACTCATGGATAATGTGCAAGAAAACGCAGCAAAATTATTAGGCACAGATGAAGAAGAGAAGAAGAAAAATGCCCACTTTGTGAGAATACCACAGTAGACCCTTCAGATAGGAAGTACCTTATTAAGAAAGAGCAATTCTTATTAATGAAGATTTAGAGAGATCACTTATAAGATGTGTTTATGGCAGCAAGCTCATTCGGTACATATATGTAAGAGGAAATCAAGATCTGAAAAGATTTTCAAAGGTTAGAGTGATACATCTGTTATGATGCAATTAATAGTGATATACTCTCTATTGGAGATTTGTTCTCCAAAACTTGACCATCTAATACTGTGTAGGAACTAATATGTATAATATTAGGGGGCTTAGTGGACAGAAAGTTCATTAGTTGTTGGTATTGCCATAGAATGAGGAAAAAGCGAATGGGGCCTTATACAATATGAATAGAATGGTTTCTCAAAGAGTAGTCTACGGCTCACCTGAGTACAAATCACAAAGGATGCTGACAATGCACAGTCAAGGTTCCCTACCTAGATTAAATGAATTAATTTTGGACTTGGGTTTAGATATTTACATTTTTATCAGGACTTCTTATGTTCACCCCAAAGTTTGCAAAATACTTATCTAAAATAAGAAAGGTAATAGGCCTGATCCATCTTCTGCTTAGTAGGCTAAATCTGGAAAATATAAACCTCAGGTGACAGACTATAGAGGGATATAGAAGAGCAATTACTTTTTGCATTAGTCCATCCTTGCATTGCTAACATCCTAAAGACTGGATAATTTCTAAAGAAAAGATGATTAAGGCCAGATGCGGTGGCTCAAGCCTGTAATCCCAGCACTTTGGGATGCCGAGGTGGGCAGATCACGAGGTCAAGAGTTCAAGACCAGCCTGGCCAACATGGTGAAACCTCGTCTCTGCTAAAAGTACAGAGAAGGAAGGAAGGAAGGGAGGGAGGGAGGGAGGGAGGGAAAGAAAGAGAAAAACAAAAGAAAAGAAAGAAAAGAAAAGAAAGAAAAAAGAACAGAAAAGAAAAGAAAAGACGATTAAGTGGTTCTAGATTCTACAGGCTGTACAGAAAGCACAACAGCATCTGCCTCTGGGGAGGCCTCAGGAAGCTTCCAATCATGGCAGAAGGTTAAGGGGAAGCAGGCATGCCACATTGCATAAACAGGAGCAAGAGAGAGTGGGAAGGTGCTACATACTTTAAAATGACCTCATGAGAACTCACTATCATGAGGACAGTTCCAAGGGGGATGGTGCTAAACCACTCATGAGAAATCAGGCCCCGTTATCCAATTATCTCCCACCAGGCCCCTCCCCTAACATCGGAGATTACATTTCAATATGAGATTTGGGTAGGGTCACACATCCTATATCACTTTTGGAGAAAGAATGGAGGTAGCTGTGAAGGTTTGTTACATCATGGCATTTGAGGAATGGCTGGGGTGATGGCAAATATTTATCATCTAGAAGAGCAGGCTCAGAAAAGATATACCAGTTGTTTTCAAATATCTGAGAAAATATCAGTAAAAAGAAGTATAGTCATGTCCCTCACTTGCTTAAACATTTTGATTAAAAATGCATTTTAGTAGATTTCATTATGCCCTTTTCCTCTGGTGACCACCTGTTAAAATTTTCAAAACCTAGACCTATTAAAAAAAATTGTCAGTAAGATGCATTTGTTGTACCAAACTTCTCAGTTCTGGACTTTTTAATCAGTGTAGTTGCCATTGGACTCACCCACCAGGTTGCCTGCTAATCCATCTGATCTGTGTCTCTTAAATACAGCAGGGAGTGAAGAACAGCTGCTTTTCTTATTTCATTCTCCTTCTATCTGTCATAAAATCCAGGTACCAATAACTAGGGATAAGCGTTTTACCAAGAGAAGTTATTTCAATAGCTTGAACTTAAATACCAGCTTAGTAGTCAAAAAATAAAAATAATGTTTAGTATAAGTTTTAATAATGGCATATAGATGAAATATTTGGACTTAGTGACTTTTAAGTTGTGGCTGCTTTTTAAATGACTTCTCTGGATGTTTGAGGACTTTGTGTATACACGAAGTCCTATCACATTTGTGGTAGGGAGATTCTAAGATGACCCTCAAGATTCACAACCTCTGGGGTACGCATCTTATATGATCCCCTCCTGTTGAGTGTGATTGGAGCCTATGAATATGACGGGGCATCATTCCCATGATTAGGTGACATTTTACAACAAAGTAGAAGATATAATTCGGATATAACTCAGGTCCCTAATTAGTTTTCTTCAAGCTACTCAAAAGGAAGATTATCCTGAGGGCACCCAACTTAATCAAGTTAACTCCTAAAAGAGCATCTAGTTCTCAGAGAGCTTTTCCTGCTCTTGAAGAAGCAAACAATCATGCTGTGAGAGGGCCACACAGCAAGAGGCTCAGGAGGCCTCTAGAAGCTGAGAGCAGCACTGGATTGATAATCAGCAAGAAAGCACAGCTGAGCTAACACGGAGACTGCAGCCTCTCTAGGTCGACAGAAACTATCATAATCAATGAATGCTGTTTAAAGTCACTACGTTTGTGATAATTTATTATACAGCACTAAAAACCAAATACGAAAGATTTTTTAAAAGTCTGAGTTGAAGATATCTTAAGCCAAATTGCATTTAATACACCTAACCTACTGAACATCATAGTTTAGCCTAGGCTACGTTTAACATACTCAGAACACTCACGTTAGCCCACAGTTGGACAAAATTACCTGGCAGCGCAGTACACTGTGGAATATTGGTTGTTCAACCTCATGAACATGTGGCGGACTGGGGTCCTCAGCTCACTGCCCCTGCCCAGCATCACACAGAGAAATGTGCTTCATATCACTAGCCTGGAAAAAGATCAAAATTCAAAACTTGAAGTATGGTTTATATTGACTACGTATTGCTTTGGCACTATCACAAAATCGAAAAATATCAGGTTGAACCACGGCAAATTGAGGACAATCTGTACCGCCAAACAGCTCATTACTCAAATCCTCAACTTTTTCTCTTTAATACTTGTGAACTCTATTTATATAGTCAATACTTCTTGATTTGAAAAAGGATTGGATGATAATAGAAGTGAAAAGTTTGAATGATTATACCCATTCTTAAGGATTGGATGATAATAGAAGTGAAAAGTTTGAATGATTATACCCATTCTTTCTTTTTCTTTATCTACAAACCAGCATCCAGTTGGAACATTGTCTAATTTTAGTTCTCAGGTTGTAAACTGCTGAAAGTTGAGGTTTTCTTACTGATGATTTTCTGCTGACATTTGATAAGTAGGTCTCACTGAATATCACAATTAATCTATTGAAGAAGATTGAGCGATATATACTGTTAAACCAAAGGAAAAATGGTAAATGAAATGATGATTTATATTTTTTTCCTAATTCATGAACATTGAATATTAATTTAGTGGTCTGCACTTGTAGCTTGTTAATTGTTTGATATCTAGCTGAAAAGTAAAGTGTTATATCACAGATAGCTTTTCTAATTGCAAACACATCACCTTGTTTATTCATTTGTTCACTAATCTTTAATTAGGTACCTATTCTGTACCAAATGGTATGCCAGGGGTGAGGATACAAAGATAGAATAGAACGTTTCAGTACAGTGTGAAGAAAGAAACATAAAGAAATAAGACTGCTAAAGTATTTTAACTACCAGGTTTGCACATTGACTTCATGCTTCGTTTGGATTTTCTGAGGCTTCAACGTTTTCTGTTTTTAAGACTAACCTCAAGGGTCAACTCTATCATGGAAATTAATTGCTATTTATGTTTCCACCTATAAGAAGAGTGAAATAAACAACAAAATCTAATGACATTGAAAAGTGCTTTCAATGTACTGTTGAGTGGGAAAAGCCACATTTTTAACTTGTATATTCAGTGTGATTCCAATTTTATAATTCTACTCTCGATCCGTATATGTGAATATAATACATAAGAAAGAGGTTGGAAGTAATTCAATCATGAGGTTAACAAGTTTTAACTCGGATGAGATTGTGTGTGATTTTTAAAAATTATATTTATTCTACCTAATAAGCATGTATTACTTTTATAACCTGAGAGATAAACATTATTGAAAAAGAAGAGCATGAATTTAAAGGGAGGATGTGAGACTGTAGTTGTTACATATTTTTTTTGGTTTGGAACTTGGTTAGGAAAAGAAAGAGGGACAGAGATTTTGGGACATAGAGGGAGATGCAGGCCTGAGGACAGTTACAGCGTTATAAAGGGAGAGGCTTAAGTATCAT